AGAAAATTAACTCTATCCCAGCCAAAACCAGGACAGGTTTCTTCGATTTTTTTTTTTGCCCAGCCTCTGCTAAAGTTCAAAGAGGTTCATTGTCTGTAGAATTGAAGAATTTCAGTTGTCTTTGTCAGGCCTGTTCTCTTGAATACAAGAATTTCTTGACACAAGAATTTCTTTCCTTAGCATAGTTCACTAGCAAAAACGGATTTTTTTTTTTTCCTTCTTTACTGGGGAAAAAGCCTGAGGACTAACTCATCTTTTGTTGTCTCTGCTAACATTGCTTGGTAATAACTGTGTGTAATGGAAATGTTAACTTTCCTAGTGAGAGAGCTTTCTTAGGGTTGATGCAGAAGTGGGAACAAGAGCAAGGAAAATGCTGTTGGTACTCCACAAGGAGCAGTAATTGTAGTTAACATTTGTCGTCCTGCAGTTTTTAGAGGTGTCCGTAGTTTGTCATAGGCATTCATGCTGTTTCTTGTGAACACTGCAATCAGGATAGTTAAGTCTAATGTATGAATCCATTGTGCACACTTCTCTCTCTCTCTTCTCTAATGTATATATGAATTTATATAATGAGTATCTAGTAAGGACCCTGTATAATTAATCTAAATTCCACAGGTCACTCTTAAATCTAATCTGTTTCCGCATACACAAGTATTCAGTTTGTGTTTTCAAACTAACTTGAAGTATGTTTGCTGTTGGCCTCATGGACAGGAGGCAGCCTGTGTTTCAGCATGTGGTATTGTTGTGCATGTTCTGCACTGCACCCCCGCCTCAATTGCATTTGTATCTTCCTTTTTATACTAGGCTTGAAAGACATTCTGTAAAGGTGCAAATAAATGTGACAAAGCATGCATGCATCTTTACATTTTGCAGCTGTGTTGCAATCATCTGTTTGCTTTCCTGGCAGTGTTTCTGACTTGACCTCTGTGACTTCAGGAGGCTGCAGCAGTTCCTGCTTCCTGTTTTACTTGTAAATACTTAGGTGTAGTGACTGAAGGCAACCCACAATATTAGATTTCGTACTTAAGGAGTAAATCCATAGTGTTAGTACTTCACAAAATCAGAGTACAAGTTAGATACAGTTAGATAAAACTGTTGCTCAGATTCTTGAAAGAGATTTGACCCAGACTTTTTCTTCTAGCTGTTGCAGAAACAATAAAATTGATAGAACCTCTCTTAGAGGGAAAAAAAAGCATTTTAAATGGAACCTGTTTTATTTGTCAATGCTTATGTTCAGTGCTTACTGAGGGTTAAGTTGCTCTAGAAGACTGAGGTGAGGCTGTCCAAATTTGGGCTAGGGATAGAGCACTTTGCTTTTTTTTTGTCAGTGATTTAACCTTCCAGTGTCGTTGATACTCAAAACCAATTTTCATATTTGATGGCTGTTCGGTAGCCAAGTGAAAATTGCTGGAGATTCTGGAGATGTGTCATTTTGTTTAAAGCTGTTAACAGGAAACTGAGCAGGAAAAACAATAGAGAGTTCTGTAGCCAAAATCTCTACGAAGAAGCAGAAACAGGATGGATATAAAACCAGCTCTCTACTTGTTATTTTAGAGCTTGTTGTTCACTAAAACTGACTTCCTGCAATTGTTCCCGAAACTGATGCATGGTGCATTTTTTAAGAAATAAAAGTGCTGGAGACTTTGGCTTCTATGGAAGAAGGGCTTTATTGATTTCAGACAGTAGGAAATAGATCATGTGAATTAACACTTAAAAGGGAATTGTCACTTGGCATTTAATGCTTTACAGTGTTACTTTTTCTTCCCTGTGTGGTAAACAGAACTTATGAACAGTCATCTCCAGAAGCTTTATGCCTGCCTCCATCATTTGGTACTCATCACGGGTTAAAGCTGGTGTAATCTTTGGCCTTTCTGTACTAGGTTTTGGTGGTTTAGGCAGTGTTTCTGTCTCCCATAATGTAGCATAACATACTTGCTGTTGCAGTAAAGTTGGCAGAATTTCAGATCTTCCAAACCATGTGAAATGTGGCTTCTAAAACAACTGTTTTCAAATGCCACAGAACCTGCAGCATGGAGAGGTCTGCTCAGTACTGAGATTGTCTCGAGATTGGGCCTGGGAGGTCTTACGAATGTGTGAAGAACTTGGTATCACCCTGAAGTCTGGGGTGCTCCATTTCAGGAACTTGGTATCACCCTGAAGTCTGGGGTGCTCCATTTCAGGAACTTGGTATCACCCTGAAGTCTGGGGTGCTCCATTTCAGGAACTTGGTATCACCCTGAAGTCTGGGGTGCTTCATTTCAGGCGTGCCTACCTGTGTGTTCAGAGCAGTCAAGTAATGCTTGGAAAATTAAGTCATCAAACTAGTGATTTTGAAACCTTATTGCTGTTACCTTTTGGAATACATAAAGGGACACACAGCTGCACTAAAATAACAAGAATCGCAGTCACACTAAAATGAAAGGGGCCAAAGACTCCCATTGGGTCCTTTTCATGTACGGGGAGCACAGTCCTTGATAGCAGTTGGTCAGTTTCCACTGATTTAGCAGACCTGACCTCCTGTAGCCCTGTGTCTGACAGTTGTTTCTTACTCAAATGCATGAAGTAGTAACAGATTGGAGGTGGACCAATGTGTTTGCTACAGAAGGTTAGGTTAAAGAGTAATAAATTTGTGTGAAAGACTGTTACTACTTCTGGTGTTACCTTTCTTGCAGTTTTGGAACCCTTGTTGCGATTGGAGTTACTGTTTGTGCAGTGATTGTAATTACTATTGTTCTGTGCCTCACCTGTTCGTGTTGCTGTTTGTATAAAGCATGTCGAAGACCACGGCGTAAGTACCTGTATATTAATTTTCTTTTTCACATCTTTGAACAAGACTTTCTTCTTCTTCCTGTGCCCCACCCGCCCCCCTGAAAACTGTGTTCCTATAAAAGGTGAAAATAATTTTGCCTTACCTCTCTGCTACAAAAGTTGCAATACCTAAACATTAAAAATAAGCATTTAAGCTGCTTCAGAATGTGAAGTTGCAGAGAAATGTTTTGGAATATTTTCTAAGCATTTAGAAGTTC